TATATATATATATATATATATATATATATATATATATATATATATATTCTAATATTCCTTGTTGGTCTTTGTTGTGATTATTATGAAGGACGGCAATTAATGAGGCCGCATCTGCTTTGTTGTTCGTCTCCCCAATCCAAAGTCGCATCTTGGAACGAAGACTACTCCTCCCTCTCACTCTCTCCCTCCCTTTTCCTTTAAACCCCAGCCTTCCTACCGACGAGATCGCGAGGGAGGGGACTCGAGGAGGAGCTCGAGGGGGGTTCCTAGATTCGTCATCTTTTTCCTTCTTTTAGAAGAAGTCGGACCTCGAGATCTCGGCTGCAGATGGCGACGACGCAGCAGCCGCCGGGTCGTATCGGTATCTCCGGTTCTTTCACCAGATTTATGGGTTTGATGTGATGTTTTCTTGTCAAGTTTGCATCTTTTGCGTGTTTGAATCCGAAAGATGTGATCTTTGCTTGGTTCGATTGGATCGTTTTGGTTTGTGCGTCGTGTCGGACTTGGGACCTCGATAAATACGTGATCTTCTTGTGTTTCTTCCGTTTCTTTTTGCTTTGTGTGACAGTGCTGGTTAAGGAATTGTGTAATCTAGAAGCGTTGATGATCTGGAGGCTTCATTTGAGGAATTTTCTTAGATCTCCCTTTAAATCTTTATGTAAGCTCGATATATTCGCCTTCTATAGTAGATTAAATAGAAAGAGATTGCATTGACCTTCAACATGGGTAGATCCACGACTGTAGTAAGATTTTGCTGATGACATGTCCTGTTTATAAGTTTCTTTACTAAATTGAGAATATGCATTTCTTCTTCTCAAGATTGTGCTCTCTGCATCTATTATTTTGGACTGCTCTGGATTTATGATGCTGGACACCAGAAAGCTGGTGTCCCGTGGCCTCCCACTTCATCCGGATCAAGTGCAGTTGACGTAGCAAAGAGGATGTTTTCCGATTTGGATTCTGATATCTTTTTTATGCTTTCGACTACTCAGGAATTACATAGCCGTTTGGAGTGAGTCATAGTATCTTTGTTTTTTTGTTTATTTGAAGGGACCGCAAGGTGATGATGATTGAGGGGGATTTTAGTTGGTCTTAATGGTAGTCACTTTTGTAGCGAGCATTCTGATTTAAAATTACGGTGATATCGGAAGTGTTGGTTTTATATTTGATACGTCTGCCACTGTTTGTAGTGCTTTTATAAAAGACGAAAAACACCATGCCATATGACCTTATAAATTTAGAAAACAGATTTGTAATACTTAGTCAGCTAATTCTAGGGCTTACTGATATTTTTAAGTAGCATTATAGAACAATTGTAGTTTAACTTGGGTGGATCTTCATAGACTTTACAGCTTTCGCCATGGAATATATTATCTAGAGACCCATATGAATCTTTCTGTGTTGGGAGGA